CCACATTTTTTCCCATGCATTTCAACTTTTTTCAGCGTAGTTCTGCAAAAGTGTGCTCTCAGCACTTCCTTCTGGTAATTTAAGCTTGTCTGCTTTTTTAGCTACTTTTCACCTGTTAATTACTAATTTCAGCTTTTTTCAAATAAATTCCACTTTTTTGTGCTCATTTCTGCTTCTTTAAATCTAATTGGGCAAACGTGTACTTTCGGTTTTCTTTTGAAAATTTAAGCTTGTTCTACCTTTTCAGCTAACTTTATAGCATATTTTTGCTAAATTCAGCTGTTTTCTGATAAATTCAAGTTTTCATGGTAATCTCTGCTACTTTTAGCCTAATTAAGTTATTTATGCTAATTTCAGCTTGTTATGCTCCTTTCAAAAAAATTCTGCTATTTTCAGCTTTTTCTGTTCTTTCAGCTCTTGTTGCTAAATTTATCTTTTTCAGCTAATGCCACATTTTTTGAGCTCATATTGCTCATGTACTTAATCTACCAAAGGAAGTGTCCTCTGGTAGAGTAAGCTTCTTTATGCCTTTTCAGCTACTTTTCAGCAAGTTTTTTTTTTATTTCAGCTTTTTTTAAGCTAATTTCCTAATTTTATGCTCATTTCTGCTTATTTAAACCTAATTTAGCAAACGTCTTCTTTCTGATTTCTTCTGCTAATTTGAGCTTGTTATTCCATTTCAGCTACATTTCAGAAAGGTTTTATTAGCTAAATTCAGCTGTTTTTAGCAAGTTCTTCTGCAATAAGCATTCACACTGCAGACAAGATTCCTGATAGACAAGATGTGAAAGATCTTTTTTTGTAATACCACTATCTACCCTCATGTTTCTCCCCTTTTTCCTATCTAAGATTATTATCTGATAAGGATAAAATGGCCGCGCTCTCCTGTAGTTGCAGCTTCGTGCACTCCGCCCATCTTTCGGATGACTGTATGTACATATTCACGTTGTACCTCGGTGCAAGTTTATTCTGATTCTGATTATTCTAATTAATTACATTACTGCCACTGTGTAATAGCAGTAATAATTTATATTAAAATTAATAATAATAATAATAATAATTATTATTATTATTATTATTATTATTATTATTATTATTATTTCTGTTATTAAAAATAGCTAAAAACATTCAGTATTTTAGCAAGACAAAATAATAATAATGATAATAATAACATTAATAATAATAACAATAATCATAATAGCTGCTTCAATTTCTCAAAGTCTCAAAATCATCTTAACTTCCCGAACTGTAAATGTCAATGCTGACTTGGTGTCACCACTTGGTCATATATTCAGTACTCTTCAAAAAATATAAATAAAAAATCTCTTCCTCTACTAATGCAGAGTGCATGAGAATGAAGTGGTGGTGCAATCAAAACCGCTGTCACCACAAAATGCGAACACTGATTACAAGATAATCTTTCACTCTTTATGTAAGTAGAGGTGTTATGTGGGTAATTCATTGGGGATTAGGATCACACACATGTGCGCGTGCACACACATACCTATCATATTTCAGGTAAGGCATTCTTCAGCAGTCTGTCTAATCCTCCTCTTATACAACACAGTGTTTCAACTCGGACCATTAAATTTTTATATTTTTATATTTTTGGCAGGTGACGTGTCACAAAACCATTGATGGACTGGCTGTAGGTTGTCAGTTCATGTCCAAAACAAGTATTCTTCCTATTGCTTCATGAAAAACTGGGAATACAGTCCTTAAAGATATGCTCCTCCTAACAACAGTGGCTGCTCTGACACAATGACATATTTACCTTTAGAGTATAGAGCATTGGGTTAAAGCTCTGTTGTAGCCAGGGCTAAATGAACCAAGATGAATATTTATATAACATTTACTATAACATTTACAGTTTGTTTGTTTTGCTAAAAGAAACAAGTCATAACCATAAACTGTCAGCACGGTGACATTAATCATTTAGATGCTGACTATCAGCACAAAGCCACAACTTTTACTTGATACCATCTTAATTATTAAAATCCAAAAGTGGAATCACTAATATTAGCCCTACAGTTGCATCTACACCTCGGCCATTCATTTAAGACTGACACCATATCCAGTTTTAAGACTGGGATTAAGACTTTCCTTTTTGATAAATCCTATAGTTATGGTTGGCTTGTTATGCTGTCTTAAGCTTAGAGACTACTGGAGGACAAATTGACCTATTTTCCTTAAATGAATAGTTAAATTGAATATTTTTCATTTGATACTATTTCTATATTAACATATGTTTCTCGACCTGCCATTGTGTATCTGTTCTTCTCAAACTCCAGTCGGTCGAAGCAGATGGCCACTTGTCCTGAGCCTTGTTCTGCTAAAGGTTTCTTCCTCATGAGGGAGTTTTTTTCTTTCCACTGTTGCCTTTGTAGTGAACTTGGCCTCTGACCAAAACCTGCCTCTGAAGACCTTCATGGGACAGGAACTGTTATTTCATTGATTTGAATCCAGAAATACAAATTAGCTCATCCACAGACTGTCTAATTGTATCCTGAAGTAATCACTTGAAAGAACACTCTTCTTTTATATTATCATTATTATTTTTCAATATCTTGATAAATCAAAAATGTGTTTAGTTCATACCATTTCTAAATGTTGAACCACTCATTTTAAATCAACTGTGAAACAGTATTAATGATTTTTTAATCCTCATTTAAATTAGAAATCAAGTTAAATGTCTATTTTACAAAGTAATTATGCATTTTTGATCTTCTGTCTAAATGAGAAGTAGTGATGTCGGTCGAAAGTCAGAAAGAAGTTATTAGAACGAAGTGTCGTGTTTTTAAAACTAGTAGACGGTAAACAAGAAGCTACTAGCATCTGCTTCCTTCCACTTCGCCATAACATGTCTTCTGTCTGTACGGGACGTTTCTAAAACATTCCTGCTGTTTTCTTGACTTGTAATGATCCTCTGACATCACTAGAACCACCCCCTGTTGCTTGTTTCAACCAATCAGGAAGTCCTGAGGTGACCGGAAGTGAGAACTCTTTAAGAGTCCACACTTCCTGGAACTTCTCAGGTCAACTGGGTCTGTCAGTCAGTCAGTCAAGTCTCCTGAGCTCCTCAAGTGGGTCTCTGATGAAGTCTAGTCTTGAACTTAGTCTTCGGAGCCTGTGATGGATTCTTCCACATCTGAGTGGAACCTCTTACGGACTCACAGCTTGCTGTGTATCCACCCGGGAGATGAGCGTGTTTGTTGAACGGAGTACCGTCACTACTTCGGACGATTCTCAGCCGTCCTGACCGGAGACGCTGAAGGGTAGCGTTGAAATGGACTCCTGTTCCTGAGCGGAGGTATCCCCGTCTAAGGTAACGAGTCGCCACGCACTGAGTGTACCGGGGCTGAGCTGGGGTCGGATGAAGGGTGCCATTCCCAGTCAACACACTTTCCTTTTCATCCATCTTTTCTCTCCATTTAAACTCCTTCATTTACCATCTTTAAACTCTTCTATTTTGCCAGTAATTAATCTAGATGCCTTCAGAAATGTCTGTTGTTTTTATTAAATAAAATGTGCCAAGTTTTATTAATCAGAACCAGATCAGCTAATCACTTGTACATTTTGATGTTAAATTTTGATTCTGTTCAATAAATGACCACATTTATTCTGATGGGTCAAAGAAAATTAACGTCTCAGTGTCACTGATTAAACAATCCACGCACAGTTACCTTGGTCACATGGCTGTAATTTAACTCGAAAAAGAGAGAACCCGTTATTTAAATATATTGTAGTCAAGGGCAGCTAAGCTAGCCCTTAGAACGCTACACCTTCATGCTTTCTCAAGATGAGAGTTCTGTGATGGAGTTAAACTCAAAGCAGTCTGCTCCTCAGATAAATAATGTTAAATTATTATTTTTATATATATATATATGAACATTTCTGTTCAGTGCCCTGAGATGACTTCTGTTGTGACTTGGCGCTTTATAAATAAACTGAATTGAACTGAATTTTAAGGAAAGAAACAGTGATTCTGTCTTTCGAGACAACTAATGAATATAAAAAATATTGACAGCAAGTCGTTTCCTGTTTACTTTTCTTTAAATAAAATAAATCTTATTAGAATTTCTTTTTTTTGTCAATCTACATGGTGAATATTAAAAGATAAGTACTGACAGAAAGTTAAGGTGAGAACAAAATGATACCAAAGCTTTTTGTGTGTAACTTTGTGTGTGTGAAGAAAATAATACAATTAAAGAAAAAAATTACCAGCAGCGACTCCTATTTTAAACCTAACTAAAGAAGTTTGTGTTGTTTCTGCCTTACCTACTTTGCATTGTGTCATCAGTCCCTTGTTCTCATATCAATCTGACCAAACTTCTCATGACATTAAAGTTTATATAAGTAAGAGTTGAGAATAGTTACATGTGGCAGAACCTAAAACAGTGAGCAGGAATGTCCCAGTACCTGTTCTGGGCTTTAGATCTCCTTAGGCAGTGAACAAAGGCGGGATCAGTTCAGGTTATGAAATAGATCTGAATGCACTTGTTTTGCTCGGGTTGTGTGAAGCACCCACAAATCTGAAGTCTACTTTGCATCAAATATACTTCTGCCACACATCACTTACATGTTTATTATGTTCTTAAAATATTCAAAAAGTCTCTTTACACTTGTAATCAAATGGATTTTTTCCTGTCACTGTACTGTTGATATTAGTCTAAAGCCTACACTAGCCCACAAACCCCTCACACTGACCTATTATTGCCCACAACCGAAAGAAAAAGGTGTATAATTATATTTTAGCTTGTGTTTGTGCCTGTGTCTGTCCATTACCAAACTATCCCATAAACCATTGAACACATTTTTATTTTAAGAAGTAATTAATGGATGATTAACTTTTGGAGTCTACCCAATAAAACATGGCTTCTATTGTCAAGTGGCCATAAAAAAACACAAAAAATGGCTATACATCAGTCAACATTACAGGTGCACACCTACAATCTGGTGGGACTGCTAGGCATTTACTTTCATACCAGTTTCCAAATTACCTGCGTCTGCGTCAGGCCCAGTTTGGCTGCCAGGTCAGCCCGCTCAGGCAGGGCTAGGTACTGAGTTTGCTGGAAGCGCTGGTTGAGTGCCTGGAGCTGCAGGCTGGAGTAGATGGTTCGAGGCTTTCTTATCTTCTTTCCCTTGCCATTCAGCCTCACCTCCCCATTCTCTATGACCGTTGTGGGCTTATCGTGATCTGAATGACCAGAGGGGAGACAAAAACTTTCTTCAAACAAATATCAAATAACATAAAATCTAACAAATTGCTTCACTGATTCAGAATTTGTTGAAATAGCACCTAAGTGATCCTAAAATAAGTTCATTCTGTGTATTTACACTCAATTGTTTCTTAAGGGAGTACAAAGACTTGTCACTGGGATGGAACCCTCAAAAATACCATTGCAGTTTAAAGAGCAGTCTTGTACCTTTGGTGGGAGACAATACACTATTGTACCAGTACACAAAGGGGCCCTTAAAAGGGTATTAATGGAGCTTTGCCGTTGTCTCTACTCTCATTGGCTCTGCACCACACATCACCAGTCAAGGGCCTCTCTACTGTCGGTATCCACCCCACTCAGCTCGGTTTATGGGACCACCTTGTTGGCTCCAAGCATGATGCTCTGAGGGGCCGAGTTTGAAATAAGAAGAGAGCAGCTGGCCATCACTGGATGACCCAACCAGCAAGACTGAAAACTACATCTGAATCTCCACTTCCTCATCATGAATGGCCGTTGTTGAGGTGGGCGATATAGGCAGCTGCCCCGGGCAGCATCTTGGATACGAGCGCCCGGCCCTGCTCTCTCCCTCAAAAGAGAAAACATGTTATTTCATATAGCCTGTCCAACCTACAATACATATCAGTTTTCTATTGCCCAATTGCAGGGAGTGAGTGCCCTCTGCCAGGTGCAGGGCGTGCAGCTTCTACTGAGGTCTGACATACAGGTTGTAAAAGAGGGGGGTGGGGATTCTCTCGCTGGCTGATAAGGCAGACATGTCTCACTAAATGCCTCAGGTTACGCCATGATCTTCACTCCCTCCATCATTACAGCTATCTTTGTTAGTTTGTCGAAGGTTTGCTCACCCTGGCAGTGTTCCCCCTACCATTATTCATGGAGGGCACCCCGCTCTGCCAACAAAACCCAGCATCCCGCCTAGCAAATCCTCCACCCTCCATGCATCTCCGCCGCTTCCAGACAGGGAACGGAGATTGTAGAAGCTCAGCTCAGACTCCAAACCGCAAGTACCGCGCATAATACAAATGTAGTGCTCCGCTGCTCCCCTGTCAACAACTGCAGGCACTAACACAGAGCTAAGCTAACACCAGTCTTCTTCACTGATCGGGTAATGGTCTTGTGATGTAGCTTGGACTGTGCTAAATAACCATTAACTGGAAAAGGTGTTGATTTGTCTCCCATTATGTAGATCTCTTTGTTTTGTCTTACAAAGTAGTTGTTAGCTGGTTGCTGCCAGTATCAACAATACAGCTGCTGAGCAGATTTCATTTGATGACTTTATTGATTAACTCACATCACGGAAGGCAAGAAGGGTCAATATTTATGTGGCTGTTGTGCAGTTTAATCTGTACAGTTGTTCCTTGTTTACCGTAGTGGATCCATACCCTGAAGCCCCGTGACAAGTGAAAAACTGCGAATTAGGAATAGTAGTACAAGTAGTATTTCATTTTAGTATATATATATATATATATATATATATATATATATATATATATATAT